TGTACTCGCTGTGTTTTTAAACCGGAGCAAGTCACTTCCTGCCCCACCCCCCATCTGAATTTCGCGCGCCTTCAGTTCAGAGCCCTGCCTCCTGCTTCAGAACCAACTGTGATGCTTAAAATAAAGAGAATCAATTCAAACATCATTAAAAGGATTTTTCAGGTGTTTTGATATGGGGTTCTGTGGGAATGGGATGAAGAATTAATACATTTTGAAAGCTCTTCAGTTTGGAGTTCCATTCTAATGAGACTGAYGAGCTAATGGCTAGTCAGAATGAGCTCAAGACCAAAAAGGACTGCTGCCGTCTTTAAACAACTCCCCTCTCCAAAACATCATAAAAATTATAAAAGCTTGTGAATGTTTAACTGCTGTTCTTTTTAGTTCTTCACACAGAATCCTGTCGATATTTTAAGTACAAATAGCAGCAGCAGTTAGCTGTAGCATTTCTGGTAAAACTTGAATAGTTTTGTTTAAAGCAAAACAGGATGTAAAACTTTAAATAATAGTATTTACAYGAACTGCTATGAAATTTTAAGGACGAGGTTTATTTAGACAAAATCTGCTTTGGATGTGGACCTATCTACAACAGGTAAGATATTGACTGTTCGAGATCCATACTTGTAATTGTCTGAAACATCCTTTTTTTTAAATGATGAAGCTGAAGTCTGTTTACAGCAGGAGCCTGAGGGGGAAACGAGGAGCTGCTGATGAAGATGGAGACGCTCCTCAGAGCTCCATCAGCTCCAGTTCATTTCAGGGCACCAGCAGCTCGGAGGGAGAAAGTAGCCAGAGAGGTTGTTTTTTTTTTTTTCAATCAGAATTATGAGGCCAGGGGCTTGAGGGGAGCATCGAGTGGGTCTGTGGTTTGGTTATCTCGAGGGGATTCAAACATCTGGCCTTCCTCTTCCACTTAAAAACATCTGCAGAACACTTTTATCTGAGACTGAATCGTRGCTTCAGAGGCCTCACACAMACACACACACTGATCATGTCATCACATGTACAGTGTGTGTTGTCAGGTTGGGTGTGCAGCTTGCAGTGGAAACTCACAGAAAATGTCACATGAAGCTATTTTCTGTGTGAGGAGAGAAAACGAGGCGTGCTGCGGTTTGTTTGTTCTTTTTATCTAGAGGTCAAAAATAGATGTGAAAATTCAGACTTTATGAGTCGTTTGGTCTGTAGTGCGCAGCTTTTACCCCAAACTGATGTCAAACTGTCCTTTTGTGTCACGGCGCTGGAGCGTAATGGAAATGACAGGCGCAGCACGAACAGCCCCAACAACTGCAGCCTTAAAATAAAAACAAAATAATAAAAACAAAAGAAACTGACAGCTCTCTGACACGACACGAGTCCAGAAAAACACCACCTGCAGCCAGACACTTCCTGCCTGATAACCCCGCTGCTGCTCCTGGGTTCATGGAAACGCCAGGCGGCTCCACGCCATCACCGCTGGCAGCACCGCCTGGTTCTGTTTCCACCCAGGAGCTCTGAGACACCAGGTCCTGTGGCAGGAACTGATCCAGATGTGGCCAATCACACGGCCCCGTTTCCAGAAGGCGGCACGTTGCTGAGAATGTGGGAAAACTAATAAAAAACTTGAATGTAGCGTTTGTTAAAAACATGTTAAAGCTATATTTAGTTTAAAATAGTTCATGTTCTGGTTATTTATAGCACCAATTTACAATAAGTCTTCCCAGGGCTTTTTACAGCTGTAACAACTTCAGTACATCATGAAATGACCTGTTTGTGTTTGGATTTATTGGGCCTCATACAAGAACATGTTCATATTCTTATCCTAAATTTCTCTTACTTTTGTTCGTACGAAGGGTTCGTACGAACATGTCACGTCAGATTCAACAAACTCTTCTATCTTCAGGAAAAGTGTGTAAATGAGGAGCGTAAACTGATGAATGCATATCAGCTGCTCGAGCACGCGGAGAGGAGATTAGCATAATTACCACCCCAAAAACACCATATAAGGTTCTGTTTCCTGCCTCAGATACCAGGAAGTGTCCATTCATGAAAATGACAGCGAAAAGTAAAAAGAAGAACTTTACGAGTTCAGAGATTGAAGTCCCGCTCACCGAGATCTAGAAAATAAAATCTGTCATTTTTAGCAGCGTCAGTCGTGGAATTAAAGGAGCTGCTAGAGATGAGGAAGGAAATGACGACTGCTGTTAACGTCTCCCGTGGGTCGTATCCAGACACAGAAATAAAAATATAAATCATATTCATCTCTCTCTAGTCCTGCTCCGGGTTTTCTTTGGTAAAATATTTTTAATTTAAGTGTAAACAACTGTGTTACATAGTTTTCATTTATTTGGAGGAGGAGTCAACCCGGTCGGTCGCGCACCGCTAACCCCCACCCCACCCCGGCCTGGCCGTCTCCCCCCTCCCGCAAGTGTCAGATGCAGTTCTGAAAAAAAAAAGCATTTTAAAATGTCTCCAAACTTCAATTAATGCATAATTTAAGTTGGTTTTTAGTTTGAGAACTTCACATTACTATTATAGTGTTGTACAACAGCATTAAAAGCCAATTTAATTTAATCTAACAAATTTATGTTGTTAGTTACATTTAAAATCTAATTCCAATTCAAACAGAATAGCCTATTGTCAACGTAATTATGACGTGTGATTTATTTTCAACTCAAAATATTTTCTAAATAATGAAATATAAAGTTATTAGTGAAGAAAACCCGTCTGGATAACAGCAGACTGACTGCTCGTAAAATATACGACAGGTCTGGACCACTCGTGAATTTTGTTCGTATCTGAAAAAAATCTTAGAATACGAAAACATTGGTGAATGCCACAAATTCTCCTAAATCACTCGTACGCATGTATAACAGTTCTTGCATGAGGCCCATTTCTAAAAGGAGAAACAAAAGAAAGAACTGCACTGATTTTCTGAGTGAACTAAAAATAAAAACAGGAATTAATTGTGTACAGGTGAAAATATGTGTTGAACGGTTTGCAGGAAACGGTCGACAGAGAAGGGCTGAAACTACAGACTGGCATTGAATGGTTCTGATCTTTGGGCCTGGAGGCGGGCCAGCATTAAACCCACACTGGATGCTTTAGTGGAAATCACTGCTGGGTTCAGGGCCGCTGCTAAAATGTCCCTCTGGGCGAATCCACAGCTGAAAACACAGGTTGAATGACTGATCTGGACCTGAGCTCAACAACAAACAACCCAGAAAATGAAAGTTAACTTTTGGTTGTTCCTGAATTTTTTTGGATTTAAAAAAAAAATCAGCTTGTTCTCAGAGAGGATGAGGAGTTTTGCCCATTTATTTGTCTGAAAATTGTTTTTATCCTGATTCTGGGTCAACTTAACTCAAAAGTATCCATCTAAAAACAAATTTATAAATATTAGATTATATTCTGAATCTTCTAAGAGAACTAATCTGTCAGCAGGGACACCAGTGTCACCACCTGTCTCAACGCGAGAACTAAACTGTGATTGGTCAGAAGTTTGTGGGCGTGTTGATGGAAGCAGACATTTATAAAGATGGTCAAACAGACAGAAACTCATTGATGGAGATAAAACAGTTGTTTTGTATGGAGGAATCTTTCTGCCAAAAACTGTGGAGCTTTAACCAGGACAGAGTTGTGGACAAAATAAAGTCAGGTATAGGATTTTTTTCCCCCTTGAACCCCGTGCTGTGATATGTACAGGGGGAGGGGTCTCCCAGGAGCTCGGAGTGGTCTGGAGGTGTGTGTGACAAACAAACATCAAACAACAAGGTGACTACGAATCGACCAGTTGGCCAGATCGAGCAAACTGAGAGACTTCTCGAAATAAGGAAACTTTCCAGGCCAACAAGTTTAACAATCTTTAAAATTCTGCTCTTGCTTATATATCAAATAAAAATACTTTTTGATTGGATCTATGATTGTAAGACTCATAAACATGGACAGGTTTTGCAGTGTACTGATGCTCAGGTTAGACTTTCTCACTCACTTTTGACTTGGGGTCCCAAAATGGCGGCCCCTGGCCTGGATCTGGACTGAAACGAGTCTAATGTGGACCCAAAGCTGTTGTTAAAATTTAACAAGTTTTTTTTCCTGAACCCTTTCTTTCCCTGTCATTATTATAAACTGATAATCATTTCTGCAACCTGGTCAGATGTTTGGTTRTTTTTAATTGTAGGCATAAATAAACAGGATTTAAAAGCTCTGCAGTGATGCGTTTATTTTATATTAATCAGTTTATTATCATTTTATTGTGTATTTCATGTACGATTTACACAATTGCTTTAGAAAAATTAATTTAGGTGGACCTCGATTAGATTTAAAGAGAAATTGTTGCTTTTTCAAAATTTTGCACTGAGCAGCCACTGAAACCATTTTCAACTGGAATATCATGAATATCAAGAAAACCTGTTTTATTTAAAGCAGAACTTGCAGCAGATAATATAAATGTGTTCACTGATCCGTGGCAACTTTTCCAACTCGTGTTACTCTATTTGAAATGTTCTGTTTGTGTTGAATTCAGCAAAGATTTGCCACAAGCTGCCCGGTCAGAAACTCCTTTTCTGACTCGGTTTCCTGGATCGTTTTCACCTGCTGACCTGCTCACCTTTGAACAAACTGCAGCAGATAGGAGATAAAACACACAGGCTGCTGAGTGACTGAAGGAATTTCCATGACTCAGATGTTTCCCACTGTTGTTGCTGCGGGTCATTTACAAACCAAAATGCACAAAAATAAAATAAAACAAAAACTCAAACCAAAGCTCTAAAATAACCACTTTTAAGTCCACAAGTGTGACTCTTAATCATGTTAAGAAAAAGTTTAATTTGATTATGATTCTAATTTTAGATAGAGAGATTTTTTAAAGCTTCAGAGCAGAACAGCTGGATCAACACATCTGTTGGATCAACTCTTACAGACTTTTAATTAGTTATAGACTGATAAGAGTTCACTTTTATCTTATAACTGCAACTATAACATACTTTTTTTTTTTTTTACTGTTTTGACATTAAGGTACCACTCACCTCAGTGGGATCTTCACAGCCAGGTATCTGTCGATGGCTATGGCCAGCAGGCTGAAGATGGAGCTCTGCGTCAGGACCAGGACGAAACAGGCGAGGAACAGGCATCCATAAAAGTCCAGGGGCAAGCCGATGCTGATGATGATGGCGAAGGGGATGGCGAGGCAGCCCACCAGGATGTCCGCCACGGCCAGGGACACCAGGAAGTAGAAGGTGGCGTTCTTCAGGGTGCTGTTGATGGCCACAGCCCAGCACACCAGCACGTTGCCGGAGATGGAGAGGATCGCGATGACTACTTCGATCACGATGTAGTAGTACACCTTCATGTCAGCAAAGTCTGGAGTCCGACCTGCAGGTTACATGGGTCACACTCATCCGCAACACTTTCTAGTCCCAGAGGAGTAAACAACAACAACAACAACACGTCTCTGCGCTGTAATCCAGGAATCCTCCACAAGTGGCTGCGCCATCTGCCATCTGTTAGAAAGTCAGCGCATCAGTTGGAAGTTGAAGTTTGGTTGAAGTGGGGAAAGCTTTACATTTGTTTAAACCTGTATTTTTTTTTATTTGTCTCCTTGATGACAACAAGAGTGGGACTCACCTCAACGAATCTGCGCATCTCCTCGGGATGATTTCAGTCCAGCAGCGACCGGAGAGCGCAGCGTCTGAGCGGCATCTGCTCCCATCTACACACAGGCTGAAACACAACTTCCGAGTGCAGTGAGGGAGTGGGGTTTACTCTGAAGCCACGCCCCGACATGCACACAGCCCCCCACCCCCCGCGTGCGTTTAGATGTGCAGTGGAAGAGCTGAGTGAAGTGGAATCCCGAGCGCGCGTCACCGCGCGTAATTACGTGGCACGGCTAATCAGGCTCGTGGTTAAAAGGCTGCTCTAAGAGCAGCAGAACGTTTAAACTCTCAAACTGTGGAACACTTTGAGTGTTGAAGCTGACGTCAGTTTCTAAGTTGTGTTTTGTGAAGAGTTAATATCTTACCTGCTGCAGATAGCTGCTCGGAGGATCAGAGTTTAAGCTCTGATGAGCTCCAGCTGAGACTAAAGAATGGTTTATACTTCAAGTTGAACGACTTCTTGGTGCTGTGGCATCACAAACATGTCCTGCTACCTTGATGACACCCTGTTGTATTAATTACCTCCAGTCAGAAGTGTGTCATGTGACTCGCAGTGATTGGTCAGAACTTTTGTGAGTGTGTTTGTTTATGTAGATCAGGGCGTATGTTTACTGCATGTCAATTTACCTAAAATGGTTTGAACCGTTCAATTCAGTGCTTTAGATTCAATACACACTATGTATCAAACAATGCAGATTTTTAAAATGTATTTTATCAGCTTGTCTTCTGAAGATGCTCTGTGTTGAAGGATCAGTGGATCTGTGTTCGACTACTCCACCTAGGCTGCATCGTCGAGCACAGATCCACTGAGAAACTTGCTGTTGCCGACTTAAAATAACTTCAAGCTGCAAAAGCTCACAGCAGCTCTTCCACTAAAACAAAACTTTACGCTGCTGGCTTGACGTCACACAGATACTTACATATTGTGGCAGCCAGCTGTAGCATTTCCAGTGCTGCTTTGATCATTCCTGGCAGGAAAATCTTAATCTGCTCCAGTAAAAAATGAAAGTTCAAAAAGGCTTTTGCATGTCCTGTTTAGAAATGTTGAAATTTATTTGAAGGCAGCAGCAATATGTTTTGGAGGTGGTTTTATTGTGACAAGCCAGAGTCACAACAGCTTCCAAATAAATGTAACAATCAGAAAATGACTTCACTCTGCAAGATTTTATAGCATTTTCTGCAAATATTCACTTCACCATCAGTTTTGTAAGATATGATTATTTCTGCAGGAAGCGGGCCAGGCTTCATCAGAAGTGCTACAGTTACAGCGGGTAAAATAAGTATTGAACACGTCAACATTTTTCTCAGTAAATATATTACT